GATGTAACTGGGACCTTGTGTACATAATTTCGCTCCACCACATGTACCACATGAGGTGCGAATGACAATAAAGAAACTCTGACTCTGACTGACTGACATGGCATACGGACGTCCTCTTCGAGACCGCATTGAGTCCGTGCGGACCTCTATGGAGTGAAGTACGCCCCACTATGTGGCGGCCTTTACGGTGAAACTGATTGTTGCACTGTAGGTTTTAGAAAGCCGAGACCTCCTCCTCCATTTAAAGTCCATCCATCCATCATCTTTACCGGCTTCTTCTTTTTCGAACCACGTTGGTTACTGGTGCCCATATCCAGCTATCACTGTGTGAGAGGTGGGGGACACCCTAGACAGGTCTCAAGTCCATCACAGGGACACAGAGACAAACAACCATTCATTCTCTCAATCACACCTAGAGGCAATTTAGAGTTACCAATCAGTCTACCGTTTTTTCTCATCTTGCATATCTGCCCCCACCTCCTCAAACCAACTGTCTTCTCTGTCCAAAATATGAATATTTTGTCCCTCAGCAAAGTGTTCCTTATCCTTGAGGTGTAGGTGGACTGCTGAGTCTCTCTAGTGTTGAGACATACGTCTGTAGGGAGGTTGTTTAGTTCTGAACGTTCCTCACTGAACTGTGTTCAACCATTTCAGTGCTTCAGGAGTTTTATTACTATAATCTTGTGAACATAGGGGCGGCTGTGGCCGAGTGGTTAGAGCAGTCGTCCTCCAATGCAAGAGTTGGGGGTTTGAATCCACCAGCAGTCACATGCCGAAGGGTCCCTGGGCAAGACACTGAATCCCTCACTGCCTCCGATGTGTGTCCCATCGGTGTATGAATGTGATAAAGCTCTGATTAGTCTCTTTAGAATGATTTGTTCAATTAGCTTTGTAGAGATCTAGTAGAGTGCTGTATGAATGGGTAAATAAGGACACAGATTATATTGTAAATATGGATGGGGCCGATCCGATCCAGTATCGGTATCAGCCTCCGATACCAGCATAATTTACGTATCGGATTTTTTCGATCCAACCTGCCGATATTTCCGATCTATGGTGCAAGTTGGCTTCAAACTTCAAACGATGGATTTCCTGAATGGAGGCGTGTCTCATGAACCCAGAGTAATAAGACCCGCCTCACATTTAGGAAATCCATTTCATAGTTTGCAGCCAGCTACAACGTGAGGACTGAGTTAGCAGCACTGTGGCTAACAGCTAACCAACTTTTCATTGAAACATGTCCGCTGTGTGGAAGTATTTTACACTAGAAACACTACAAAATAAGACAGCATTGTGCAATGTTTGCAGAGCCATAGCGCCACATTAAACCACGTTAAATTTAGTTTTACGATGGACATTCGAGCTCCGTGGCTTCAGCGGGGCACTACTCTTTGGTCAAACCGAAACAGGCGACTCGACCCCGGTCAGCCGCGTCCACTCTGCCCCGCTCAGTCTGCCCATCTCGGAGGAGGGACAGACTGAGCGCGGCTGCCCCAAATCAGGCTGCCTGCTTCGGATTGCACAAGAAGAAGACGTCGCTGAAACCACGGAGCTCACATGTTTACAGAGAAGTTGCTAAACTTCATAATTAATGACCAACCATTATCAGTTGTAGAAAATGAAAGATTTCACAGTTTGATACTTGCAGCCAAGATATAGTTTACACTGCAGGATATGTTTTAGTACAACAGTAAACAATCATAAAAAACATGATTTGAAAATTATATATATTAAAAATAAAAAAACGAAACAAAAACAGCTACATTATAAAGTGATGTAAAATACTAAAAACAGGAACATGTCTGTTGGTTTATGCCATGAATTTACAGGTGTTTGAAGCCATTTAACATTTTATTTTATTTAATTAATTTATTCATTCATTTAAAAGAAAGAAAATTAAAAAAAAATCATCAAAACAAAAACATTGAATGAAAAGAGTGCAGAAAGAAGAAAAAAATTCTTATGTCTGCCCCTTATTTAAAAAAAATATAAAATATAAAATAACTTTAAACAATCACTTAAATTAATCACTTTAATATCCACTTTAAAGCTAGAAATAAAAAGAAACACGTTTTGTGTTAGAATTTAATTCTAACTTTGAAACTTATCCAACATTAATAAAACTTACCTCAAGTTGTCTTTTTGGACATGCATGCATATATTTGTATAAATTGTACTTGAGAGGAGATTATTACAGCCTCATATAAAATCAATGATGATCATGATATCGGAACTGGATTGTATCGGCCGATATTCAGATTTAGGTATCGGGATCGGAAGTTTAAAAAAGTGGATCGGTGCATCCCTAATTGTAAAGCGCTTTGAGTATCTCAATAAAATAGAAAGGTGCTATACAAGTACAGTCCAACAATCCCACTGAGGGTTGTTTTTAGTTTATGGACTTCCTCCTCACCAAATGTACTTGAACATTGAAAGTTTAGTAAATAAATGAAAAGATTGGTAGAACTAGGAAAACTAGACAAATATTTGACAGAATCACAACAAATCTGAAATTTAATTTTCATATTTGATCCTTTATTGAACTGAGAAAAATAAATAATAATAATAAAGCGCTATGTGTTGTCATCATTGTATGTTCCCATACAAAGATGAAATTGGCTCTCTGCATTTAACCCATTGTGCCTGGGATACACACAGGTGGAGCAGTGGGCAGCTATGCGAGTGCCCGGGGAGCAATTGGGGATTGGGTGTCCTGCTCAGAGACACCATGAGATATGCAATGACCGGGGATTAAACCCAGGACCTTTGGGTCTTGAGTTGGCTGCCCTGCCCCTACACCATCTCAGCCCCTTCCAAAAAAGCAGCCCACTTTGTAAATAGATTATCCACATTATTAAAAACTATGAAACTATAAACTGCATAAAAATAAAAACTAGACATTTTTCTCATTTTAAACTGATATACCAACAAGCTTGTTAATTTTTTACATTTTTAATTACGGTCACATGTGAGAACAAAGCTGATTTTTTTTTATTATTATTTTGTACTTAATATAGTGTCAATTAAAATGCCAGAGTCTTCAGGTTATTTTATTTATTTAATTCTGAAGTAATTGTAAATATATAGCTTCTTCTCTTCTTTTTGGCTCCTTAAAGTACTGCTGATGTTAATAGTTAACATCAGTTATAGCAGAGGATAGATAGCATGTTGCAGCTTGTTGTGAACGTTTGTGAAAACAGCGTTAAATTAAATTTAAAAAAAAAAAGATGGGTTTTGCTTCAATGACAGACAAACCATGACTGATATTAAACTACAACCGACCAGCAGCAGGACCAGTGAGCGACAGACAACACTTTGTGACACTTTCCTCACATGTTTAGTGCTGAACGCAGCTTCTTCCTGTTTGGCTCCGACTCTGGCAACCCGTACTAGAAGTGCTACAGCTAGATGCTGCTGCTGCTTTTACCATTACAATAAAAACCTGTGTAAACAACCATGTAGTGTGAAGGTGGAGGAAACTTTTATGAAATAGCATTTGTTACGAGTTTGTTGTGGTTTTACAACAATAGTCCACTCTGGTCTGGGCTGTGTTCAGACTAGCCATTAGCTCATCGGTCCAGTCAGACATAAACTCTTCAAATCAAGGCAGCTGAACTCTTCACATCAAGTAGGATATTTTCTGTTTATAACTTTATCCACGCAGCCAAAGATTGGAAACATCCCTTTAGAGTCATGTGACTGATGGAAACATCCCTTAAGGGTCATGTGACTGAGTGATCCAAACAAACACCATCATTCATCAGCAACTGGAACATGTGTTTATTAAAAAGAAAATGTGTTCAAGGGACACACAACCTTAAACACACACACACAATACTTAACATGGCTGAGCCGATGAAGGACTAACAAAAACTAAACGTGGCCCTTTCGCCCACCTACATGAGCCTGATGAGAGAAGTGGCGCCATGTTTGAAACATTCCTCAGTCCCAGCAGCTGAACCACGATGAACACACAACCTGTTTGACAACATGGAGTCCTGAGGCAACGCGAACACAACCAACAGGATGACACGCCAGAGGGTTTCCTCTGCAGCCGCCGTGCCTCACCAGCCGACATCTGGCCGAATAAACTGGCCCAACAGGAAGGAATGCATGTCGCCCACCACCTTTAACGCCACTGATTTAAACCGAGATCGTCTCACGAGAAGTCATGGGGGGGTCAATCCTTGTAACTGGCCTTCGATATAAACATTAGCAGTAAAATTAAAATATTTCCATTTATCTTTGTATTTTGAAACCCTCACAATGTTCTCTGTGTCCCACCTGAGATTTAATATTTAAAGGTATCAGCCTTATGAATATAAAACGCTGTTGGAAAGTTTTACTTTATGAACTTAGTTGGGACTAAAATTAACTGGATTAAAAACTGCATGACTGGTAAAGAAACTGATTCTTTCACATGGTGAGTCCAAAACATTAAAGTTAAAAGGAGGCACACCTTCACTGGACACACAAACGTTGCAGTGATGGAACAGAAGCGCGCGGTCACGTAGGCTGTGCGCGCTCCCGCAGCGGCTGGTCACTTTTTGACACAACACCTGCCTCACAGCAAACATGAGAAAACAGAGGTGGACCTTCCCTGGAGCCGCTTTAATGAGCCAGGTTCGGGGAAGGGTTAGCTCTGAGCAGCGCACCGGAACCGAGCGGCCGTGGGGCGTATGGTCTGGGTATCCCGGCCTGGTTCTGCGGGTCCAGGGTGGACCTGGTGTAGAGACTCGGCTGACTGATTACAGGTAGATTAGAGCAACATGGAGGCGGGAGGAGGCAGCGGTGTCCCCACAGGAACAGAGGCTAGCTGTTAGCTTAGCCAGCTAGCTCCCTGGCTGTCCAACTTTAAGTCCCAAATGTTCAATTCTGGTGAAATTATCTCAGACACCGACACCTGACAACATGTCTGCACAGCGTCGACATGTTTTAAATCAACTGACAGGGAGGGAAAGTGTCAAAGCACAAGAAGCGCCACATCATGGAAAACTCACCCATTTCGATCCGAACCAAACGGTGGGACCTTCTGGACCAGACTCGCTGCTAGCCGCCCACAGAGTCAGACAGAGGTCTGCGGCCGAGGAAAGACGCTTTTAATCGGTTTACTGGACAAAAACAAGTCCAGAGAGCCGCGAGTCCATCCGTCCTGCTGCAGCAGCTCCCGAGGAGTCTCCTAAAGAACTGTTGACAGGAAGTTAGAGCCAGGAGGAGTCTCCACCTTCCTACAACAGCTGCTGCCTGTCTGTCTGAAGCAACCTGTCTGTCTGACTGAAACAGCCTGTCTGTGTGACTGGTCTGTCTGAAGCAGCCTGTCTGTCTGACTTTACAACCTGTCTGTCTGAAGAAGCCTGTCTGTCTGAAGAAACCTGTCTGTCTGACTGAAACAGCCTGTCTGTCTGACTGGTCAGTCTGAAGCAGCATGTCTGTCTGACTTTACAACCTGTCTGTCTGAAGCAGCCTGTCTATCTGAAGCAACCTGTCTGTCTGAAGCTGCCTGACTGGTCTGTCTGAAGCACCTTGTCTGTCTGACTTAACAACCTGTCTGTCTGAAGCAGTTTGTTGGTCTGACTAAACAACCTGTCTGACTTAAGAAGCCTGTCTGTCTGACTTAACCTGTCTGTCTGAAGCAGCCTGTCTGCCTGACTGACTCGGTCTGTCTGAAGCAGACTGTCTGTCTGACTATCAACTTATCTGCCTGAAGTAGCATGTCTGTCTGTCTGAAACCGTTTGTCCATCTGCCTGACTTGGTCTATTTGAAGCAGCTTGTCTGTCTCAACAACCTGTTGGTTTGTCTGCCTGAAACAGCCTGTCTGTCTGACTAAACAACATGCCTGTCTAAAGCAGCTTGTTTGTCTGACAAAAACAATGTCTGTCTAAAGCAGTTTGTCTGTCTAACTAAACAACCTGTCTGACTGAAGCAGCCTTTCTGTCAAACTTAACAACCTGTCTGTCTGAAGCTGCCTGACTTGTCTGTCTGAAGCACCTTGTCTGTCTGACTTAACAACCTGTCTGACTGAAACATCATGTCTGTCTGACTTAACAACCTGTCTGTCTGAAGCAGTTTGTTGGTCTGTCTAAACAACCTGTCTGACTGAAGAAGCCTGTCTGTCTGACTTAACCTGTCTGTCTGAAGCAGCCTGTTTGCCTGACTGACTCGGTCTGTCTGAAGCAGACTGTCTGTCTGACTATCAACTTATCTGTCTGAAGCAGCCGGTCTGTCTGACTCAGTCTGTCTGACTAAACAACCTGTCTGTCTGAAGAAGCCTGTCTGACTCGGTCTGTCCAACTAAACAACCTGTCTGTCTGAAACAGCCTGTCTGCCTGAAGTAGCATGTCTGTCTGTCAGTCTGAAACCGTTTGTCCATCTGCCTGACTTGGTCTATTTGAAGCAG